GGGGTGGTTCCTCCCCTTCCCCCAGCACCCAGAGAGCAAGAGATCCTTTTCAAAGCCACACCTCTGATGAGACTGGAGAGGTGGAAGCTAAAGGGGCAGGCAATGAGGTATAAACTATTTATTGTCACTATTTCAGGTGGCTAGATCACTGAGAGAAAAAGACATGAAGGAACTGGTCATCCTTATCCCCTTTCCCCGCCTCACTTCAGCTAGATGAGACTGACACCCATTTCTAAGTGTGTCCTTTTTGGGTCCTTCTTTTCTGTTAAAGACTGCATCTGGCTGATCTAATCTTATTTCTTATAAATACCTGTGGCTGACTATGTACTTTGCATTTCTTTGTGTCCCTTTATTCCTGGCACGAGGGCACAGGACAGCGCTGGTAGACACATGGGAAGAGTAACCTTTCCTATAGCATGGCTAGGATCCCAATCTATTCCCCTCACCCCCAATCCATGGTTAAATAATTTTCTCCAACTGGGGGCATGAACATGAACTATTCATGCATTTCATAGCTATACCTCCAAAGGCAGAACTACTACCTACTTGGGTCTTTAATTCTGACTCATTAGACCAAAAGTAGCAACACCTAGAGTTACACTTATTTAAAGGCCAGACAGAACACAGCAGATAGGGCAAGGCAGCTTATAGTCTGGGAGTGGGGAGTTGCCTCATTGAGGACCTCAAGTTGGAGTATTCCCAAATTCAAAAATTTGGAAAGTTGTCATTCTAAAGATGGAAGATCAGTGAGGGAAACTGTGATGTGGAGAAAAGATCCTCTGCTATTACAGTGAGCAATTCAAACACTGCAGGTCCAAAAGGAAGAGGTGCTGCTTGCTCAGTTTTGATGGGCCAAGGGCTTGACATATTTTCTCTGTCTCTGAGCTACAGTGAGTCCTTTGTGCATTTTCTGTCAGGTGAAATCAAAGCTGGGCCACATCCAGTTTGCATTTTATTACCTTGAGGGCGTATATGGAGTTTGGGACTTGGTTATCACCCTCACTCGGGGAAACCTAGTCATGAGTTATACTTAATTGATATTTGGGGAGCTCCTGAGGGTAATAACAATTAACATTTATATTCCAATTTAAGGTGTGCAAAGCACGCTACACATGATCATACTTGATCCTCATACTCGATCATAAGGGATATGATATGATTCCCCAGTTCTAATTTATATCTGGCATTGGAAAAGAGTGATAGACTCAGAAGTCAGGGAGGTCTGGATTTGAATCATGCCTCACATACTTGCCAGCTGTGTAATCCTGGACAAGTCACTTAACCTCTCTGAGTCTCAATTTCCTTATTTATAAAATGGGGATAATAAGAGGATGAAAGGAGAGAATGCATATGAAGTGCTTTGCAAACTTTAAAGTGCTATACAAATATGTTATTATTTAGTGTTTTATTTCACAGTCTTTTTGCATTTGTTGAGATTGTCAGAGAACCTAGGAAGAGCAGGTGCTAGAGGGAGTTCTTCCCCTCAACTTTTCTGCTAATTCTCTCTTCCCTTTTCCCCCTCCTAACCCCTAAAGGAGGGAATTCAGAACCCCCGGCTCCATTCCAAACCTCAAGTCTGGGTCCACTTCCCAACCATGGGTTTCTCTTCCTCTGGTAGAGCATTCAAAGCCACTCCTACCACCTGCATGAGCAGGAAGTCACCAGTCATAATCCTTCCAGTGAGATGGAAGACTATTGGGCTTTACCAGCTGTCTTGCCAGTATACCCTCTGGATTTTGGGTGCTGTCTTCTGACCTGCCACCATACCCTATAAGACCCTTGGGCTTTGACATTCACACTGTAGTTGAGCCCACCTTATATGTAGTGTCTCCTCCAATTAGACTGTGAGTTCCTTGAGAGCAAAGACTGTTTGTGTTTTCTATTTGTGTCCTCAGCACTTAGCACAGTGTATAGAACATAGTATGTACTTACTAAGTGTCTTTTCATTCATTCATTTATTCTTTAGTTTATAAAAAATTATTAAATTAAAAGTTCTCTCGCTTGGAGAAAATTGTTGAGAAATTATATGGCTGGAAAGGGGAATGGCAGTGACAGTGGGACTCCCCAGTGGAAATGTTCAAGAGGCAATTAGAAACACAACTCAAGAGAGTTGTAGTTGTTGGAAATAGAGACTTGGGAGTGAATCACATAAAGGAATAGATAAGGATAAGATAATACATAAGAAAGGATAAGAACTTCGAGGATAACAGTGTGAAAGAAAATACAGGTTTGAAGAATAAATTTGGGGGAATGTCCCTAGTTAGTTGATGGGAGGAGGAATAGAAGTTATCATGGAAGGAAGCATAAAACAACTGGAGAAGTAACTCAAGTCTAAATACACACACACACACACACACAATTGTTCACTGAATGCTAGAAAGCTAAAACCAGAGGACATATCTTAAAGTTTAAAAGGCAGATTTTTTTTAGCAAACTCACAGAACTTGCTACCTTCAATAAGCTGATGCTCCAATAAATCACAGAATATTGGGTTCAGTGTACTCTCAGTTTGGCCACTATGGAATTTCTTATATTCTGAGTTATCTCACCTTAATAGAGGCTATATCAAGGCAATCTTTTTGCTCTTCCCCAATTAATTCTTTTTTTTTTTGGCTAGGCAATAGGGTTAAGTGACTTGCCCAGGGTCACACAGCTAGTGTTACGTGTCTGAGGCTGGATTTGAACTCAGGTACTCCTGAATCCAGGGCTGGTGCTCTATCTACTGCGCCACCAGCTGGCCCCTCCCCAATTAATTCTTGATTCTACTCCCCACAGTACCTGTTCTTGTCTCAGACCCTCCCATACTTCTCCCTACTGTTTCACCTGAAGACCCTCAATCATATTTCACTGAGAAAATAAGAGGTATTCACCAAGACCTCCCTCTTCTCCCCTTTTCTACATCTCCAATTTCTTAACAACACCCCCTCACTCTCTCCTCATTTATTCCAATCTCTGCTGAAAGGGGTGACCTTTCTTACAAAGATCAACTCCTCTTCATGAATCTTGATCCCATCACCTCCTGTCTTCTCCAGCAGATTTTCCCCACAATCATCCTTCCTCCTCAATCTTCAATCTCTTTTAGTCTACTGACTCCTTCCTGGATGCCTACAAACCTCCTGGGATTCCCCCATCCTGAAAAACCTTCACTTGAGCCTACCATTCCCTCAATATATCACCCTTTATTTCATCCTCCTTTTATAGGCAAACTCCTTGAAATAGCTGTTATTGTCTCCATGTCTTCTCCTACTCACTTCTCAACCCTTTGCAATCTGACTTCTGCCTCATTCCTCAATTGTCCTTGCCAATGTTCTCTTAGTTTTTAAATTTGAAGGCCTTTTTTCAATCCTCATCCCTGACCTCTCTATAGCATTTGATACAATTGATCTCTTCTCCTGGATACTTCTCTCTTGGTTCTCCTCCTTCCTGACAATTCTTACTCAGGCTTCTTTGCTGAATCATCATCCATATCATGCCCCCTAACTGGTTGTACCCCAAGGCTTTGTCCTGAGTCTTCTCATCTTTCTCTACTCTTTTAGTGACCTCAAAGATATAATTATCTCTATGCAGAATCCCAGACCTATACATCCAGTCCAAATCTTTCTCCTGAGGTCCAGTACTACATCCCCAACAGCCTATTTGATATTTAGAATGAGTTGGTTCATTTATATTTCAAACTCCGTAAGTCTAAAATTGAACTCATTATCTCCCCTCTCACCAACCCTCCCTTCTTCCTAACTTTCTGATTATTGTCTTGATACTGCCATGTTACCAGTCATCCAGGCTTACAACCTAGGTGACATCTCTGACTCTATATTCTCTCACTGCCCATATTTAACCAACTGCCAAGTCCTTTGATTTTACCTTCTTAACATCTCTTTTATACATCCCTTCTCTCCTTTGACATTGTTACCATCCTGGTGCAAACCCTCATCATCTCATGCCTGAATTATCTGAGGAGCCTGGTAGGTGGTCTTCCTGCTTCAAGTCTCTGCCCACTCCAATCCACCCTCCACTCAGCTGTCCAATTGATCTACTTAAAGTCCAAATGTGATCAAGTCACTCCACTAGTGTAAGCTCCTTGAGGGTAGGGATTATCTTTTGCCTCTTTTTGTAGTCTCAGTACTTAGTACAGTACCTGGCACAAAGTAGGCATTTCATAAATGTTGACAGATTGATTGATTAATATCCTTCCTAGGGTCAGGATTCCCCTCTGTCTTTAACCCCTTTTTTGATCAGAATTGACACTTATAGCCTAAGACTGCCCACACATAGCAAGCAAAGGCAAGATGACCACAACTGATTTTTCATCCCAGGGTAACAGTCCCCCCTACTCATTGGTATCATTCTAGCTGACTTTCTAGCCTGAGGACTCTGAAGTGCAGTGCTGCTGCTTTCCTTAGCTTGCCTCCCTGCTAAACTATGGGCTTTTCATCAGAAAAGGCACTATAATAGTGTTATAAATCTGAAGCATAACTAGGCTTTGTTTCGACCTTCAATGAAAACCTTATTAAACATCTTAAAGCAAAACATGGATAAGCACTTACCAAAAATCTTGTAAAGAGGGTTGAAATCTCAGAAGTTCCTTCTATCTCTGAAATTCTGTGATTATATGAATTCTAAGAGCTGTCTTCCCACTGTTCCTTCCCATCCTATGGTACCTGCTAGACATCTCCCTAGTTGAAGTCTTCCTGCTGCTGCCCGTGCCTTTGCGTGCACCTGTCTTCTTGGTGCACCCAAGAAAAAATGCAGCAGACCAAATTGAAACTAAGCAGTATCCCAGTGGACATACTTGGGTGTTCAGAATTCTTTAAAACAAGGTTTTTCTGGAGAGGAAGGCCATTCTGGAGGAATCATTCCACAGAGTGCCTGACATTCGGGTTTGCAGCCAATGGGTAGTATTCCCCTGCTGCCCATCATGAGATGAGTGGGACAGTGTAAGTGAAAGGAGAATAAGATGCTGTCCTGAAAACAGAAGATTAAATAGGAAGCAAACTTCTTACCTCCCCTCTTAGAACCTGGATACTCCTAAGGATTCGCTCTAGTTGGCCAACTTGCTGGGTAAGCCGATGGCTATTTTCTTGCAGTAGCTTGTTTTCTTCACCGAGGAAAAGCACCCTATGGGTGGCATAAATCAGAGGTAAAACTACAAATTTTTGTCTGGATCCTGTGTAATTCCAAGAGTTCCCATTTTTCCTGTGCCTCGGACTCTTCCCCAGATTTTGGGAACCACAATATGACAAGACAACTCTCCAGTACCTCCATCAGATTCACTAAATAAAAATAAATGACAATTGCCTAGAAATTTAATAAACACATAGCTCTAAAGTGTAGAAATGTGCTAGATATAACCAAGAAATGTGGAAGAAACAGAAGAATCACAGGAGCTCATTGTTAGAAGAAACCTCAGAAATCATCCAGTCTAACCCAAACCTGGATGGAGATGTTCTCTATGGAATTTTTCACATGTAGTCTCTGTTTGAAGTCCTTAGGTGAAAGGCAACCCACTAGCTTTCAAGACAGCACAGTGCTAATGAGTTGGACTCTGCCATTTACTACTAGTTTTTAATTGATATTTTCTGTTTCTTACATCACCATAGTATCCCATGAATCCCTTCCCCTTCTCCTCCCTAAGGCCCATCCCATACGACAAAGAGCATTTTTTAGAAAGGAAAAAAAGTTAGCTCAACTGATGGATACATTGAAAAAAATCCAAAAACATTTCAATGTAATACCTGTGGACCTGCCACTTCCATGAGGGGTAGATTGGGGGTGTCTTCTCATATTTCTTCATTTGAGTCCCATTTGACTTTTATAATTTTTTGTCATTTACTTTTGATTTTTGGTGCATTGTTCTTTTCATTTACATTGTTGTAGTTAATGTGTATATTGTTTCCTTGGCTCTGCTTACAGTTCATATAGATCTTTCTATGCTTCTCTGAATTCATGGCATACATCCTTTCTTATAGCACAGTATTTTTTCATTATATTCATGTGCCAAAGTTTAGCCATTCCCCAATTGATGGGCATCTACTTTGTTTACAATTCTTAGCTACTATGAAAAAGGGCTGTTATAAATATTTTGGAGTATATAGGGACTTTCTTTTTAATTAATGGCTTCCATGGGGTATAAGGCCAGCAATGGAGTCTCTGGTTCAAAAAGTATGGTCATTTTAGTAATTTTCATTTGCATAATTCCAAATTCCTTTCCAAAATGGTTGTACTATTTTACAGCTCCACCAACAGAGTTTTAATGTACCTATCTTCCCACACCCCCTCCAATATTAACTATTGCCATTTTTTGTCATTTTTGCCAATTTTCAGGGTATAAGGTAAAACCTCAGTGTTGTTTTGATGTGCATTTCCCTTATTATTAGTACTTGGAGCATTTTTTCACGTGGTTGTGAATACTTTGGCATTCTTCCATTTAGAACTATTTGTTCACAGCCTTTAATCACTTATCTATTGAGGAATGTTATATATTCATGTTATATACACACATATATGTATGTATATATACATATATGCATGTATATGTGTATATATACATATATGTATGTATATATGTATGTATACATATATGTATGTATATATGTATGTATACATATGTGTGTGTATATATGAATACATTTATATATAACATAATATATATAATTATATATATTTTATTATCACCATATTTTGAATACCAAACCCTTAACAGAGAAATTTGATACAAAGATTTTTTTCCTATTCAACCACTTCCCTTCTTATCCTATGTGCATTAATTCTGTCTGTGCAGAAGCCTTTCACATTCAAGCAATCAAAGTTATCTATTTTGTTTTTTAATTAATTATCAATTAAATAAAATTAATTTAAATAAATAAAATTAATTAATTATTTAATTCCCGCTATCTCTTGTTTGGTTAAGAACACATCTCCTACCCTTAATTGTGAGAGGTATATGATCTGTTTCTCTTGTAATTTTAATAGTACAATCTTTAATATTAAGATCATGAACCCATTTGGAATGTATTTTGGAGTGTGGTGTAAAATGTTGGTCTAAGTCTAATTTCTGCCATTAGCACCCCTTCTAATATTGTAGTTGTACCTCTTTCACTAGTACAGTGATACCATTATGTCACTGGGACAAACCAAGTGAAATTAAATGTTATGACTGCTATTTATGATTGTAACTTTAGATTACTTTTGGATATATGCTGGAACCATCTCTTGTGGTTCATACACAGATAATATGTAGAGTGGAAGTATACTTTTTAAAAAAGTATTCCTGAGGGGAACAATTTCTTCCCATTTTAAAGCAGTTACCATAATTCTTTATCATTTTTTTCCCATCCCTTCCTTCCCTAGGTTTATCCTACTACTAGATAATCAGTCATTTCTGGAATGTTGCTATTTTTTCCCAATAAGTAGGATGGGGAGGGATCAGAAAATCAATCTTTGCATCTTCCCTTAAGTTACCAGGTATGATATTCAAGGAATTCTGAAAGAATAATTCCAGGAGCTCCTGCCAACCTGGCGTGATGCCAATGGGTTCTTTTCCCACTGTTCACCATGGCATTTGTCTTTGTGACAACAGAATACATAGCTGGTACCTGTCCAGTAGTATCACTCAGTGATTGGACCTCAAATCAGGTAGCTGGAATAGAGAGGATCTCTGAGACACCAATTCTAATAAATTATAAATTATGAATCTCTTACCCCAGCCTTTAATCCAGTTTAACCCCCTGGACATTTTAATAACAACATATAATAACAAATAATAACAACAGGTCACTGGAATACACTTAACTAGTCAATCCATGATAACAGTTATTAGACAGTCATTAATGTTACTATTCCTGAAGATAATTCACTTCCCAAAGATGAGTTTGGGGATTAGGACGTGGTCACTACTTATAGCCACAATGTGAACCAGTGGGTTCTAGTTCATCCATGATGAATCTAAAGTCAGGCTATATAAGTTCAAATTCTAATTCTGCCCTTTACTAATTGTGCGAACTTTGACAAATCACTTAACCTCTCTGAGCCTCAATTTCCTTGTCTATAAAATGGAGGGTTAGACGACATGTCCACTAAGGTCCCTTTTTTAGTTCTAAATCTATGATCCTACAAGACTGTCAAGGACAGCAGATTTTGAAATATCTTAAAGAATTGGAAAAGTGTCTCAGTTTTCTTTTTGCTTAATTATTAATATCATTTTTGTGGAGACATTTTGACAGAAAAGAGTCATATTCTTTGGGAATAAATCCTCACCTATTCTGGACTGAAGAGATTGTATATGTGTTGCCTTGTATAGTTTCATCTTGTTCTGTTAGTTTCTCTAAAAGTTGCTTCTTTTCAAGGAGCAGATTCTCATTCTGCGTGGTGACTTGGTCCTGGAATGCCTTCTCCTAGGGAAAAGGAAGCTTCTTGATAGCAAACACGTCATTGTCAAGAATCACTATCATGCAATGAATTGTGGGTTTAGCTATGTTGACTTACAGTAGGGTATAAACTCCATGAAGGCAGGAGCTGTTTTTCATTTCCTCTTTGTATTCCCTGAAAAGTGCTTTGCACATAGCAGGCAAATAACATATAATATATCACCAGAAAGTGAAAGTGATTTTGAGTTTTATACTTTTTTCCAGAGTTGTTTTCTGTTTTTATTCAGAAGAGAAAATTTAAGTTGATTTTGGCATTTTCTCACTAATTTTCTTATTTTATGTACTGTTTGGACTAAGACTCTTTCTTTACCACTTATACTTATGTTCCAAGGATCCATGATTTCATCCACTTGCATACTTCTACCAATGCAGGTCAATAGACATTTATTAAGTGCCAGATATGTGCCAGGTACTGTGCACTTTTGGGGATCCAAAGAAAGGTAAAAGATAGTCCCTGCTGTCAAGGAGCTCACAGTCTAATAGGGGAGACAATATGCAAAACTATATACACAAAAGGTATGTTCAGAATAAATTGGAAATAGTCAATGAAGAGAAGGTACTAAATTAAGAGTCACTGAAAAAAACCTCCTGTCGAAGGTGATATTTTAGCCGGGATACGAAGGAAGACAGGGAAGCCAAGAGGCAGAGATGAGGAAGAAAAGCATTCCAGGTGTGAGGGACAGCCAATGAAAATGCCCAGAGTTGAGATGAAGTGTCTTGTTTAAGGAACATCAAGGAAGCCACTGGATCAAAAAATGCATGGGGCAGGGGAGGAGGGAGTAAGATCTAAGACTGGAAAGATAGAGGGGAGGGCTAGGTTATGAAGGGCTTGCAATGCCAGAGAGAGGATTTTATATTTGATCCTGGAGATGTAGGGAGCCACTGGAGTTGAAGGGGCAGGGGTGACATGGTCAGACCTGCCCTTTAGGAAAATCATTTTGATAACTGAGTGGAAGATGAGTGGGAGTGGGGAGAGATTTGTGGCAGGGAGGCCAACCAGCAGGCTATTACAATAGTCTACGCATGAGACAATGAAAAGCTGCACCGGTAGTGACAGTATCAGAGGGAAGCAAGGATTGTATTCAAAAGATGTTACAAAAGTCAAATCAACAGACCTTAGCAACAGACTAGATATGCTGGGGGTGAGTGGGGGGAGCGAACTAAGGTGAGGGAGAGTGAGGTTTGAGATCACAGCTCTACTAGGCCTTAATACAGGGGTGGGGCACCATCACATGTGGCCCTCTATTCAGTCAAAGGGCCACACTTGAGGACCTAGAGAGCCACATGTGGCCTTGAGGCTGCAGGCTCCCCACTCCTTCCTTGCCAGATGGTTTCATAAGTTGCTGTGGCCAAAAGAATTAACCACTTTGAGATTTTGAAGACCTTCAATCAGGAAATTATCCCTTATATCTAACCTCAATTTACCTTACTACAAATGTAACATATCTATAATACTCTTAGTATGTCACTCTTCTATAAAATACAATACTCCATGCCCTTGTAAAAGGGCACCTGGATGGAGAAAAGTGGAGAAATCTTGACTATTGGCTCCTTACAGGAGAATTTTAAAGGTCGAATGGGAAGCCTAAGAGGAATCAAGAAGAAACCCACTTGAAGAACTATGTGGAAAGCAAGACTTCTGCTTCCAAGGCGTGGTGAAGGCAGGGAATTGAAGCCACAGAAACTGGTGATTGTTTTCTATGGACTTTTACTGTAGCAACAAGGCATAGGAAATAAGAGTGCTGGACCAGGAATCAGGACAAATGGGGTTCAAATACCGCCCCAGGCTGATGACTATACTTGTGTAATCATGGGCAAGTCATACCTTGAATTCCTCATCTACAAAATGGGCATAATACTACCTGAGTTATTATGAGGCTTAAATGAAATAATATAGAAAGTCAACAGGCATTTATGGAGTGGTTACTAAGTGCCTGGCACTGTTCAAACTTGAGCATGCTTTGTGAGTGTCAGTTATTATGATTGTTTAAAGCAGAAAGACTGTTTAAAGCCCAGGGATGAGGAACCTGAGGCCTCGAGGCCACATATGGCCCTCTAGGTCCTCAAATGTCACCCTTTGACTGAATCCAAACTTCACAGAACAAATCCCCTTAATAAAAGGATCTGTTCTGTAAACTTAGGCTAGATTCTAGCATAAGGAAAAACTTTCTCGTGAAATAGGATCAATCTTTAACCACTGTAACTTTTATGCTACCCTTCAATTGAAGCTCTCATTCATACTTAATCTTCTTTAGGGAAAGTGTTGCCAGTTCTCTGAATATTTATTCAAATGTCTTCTTATGTAGCTGCCCAGTTTAATGTGTACACAAGCTATCTCCCATACCTGGAATGGACTACCTTTCAAAACTGTTCAGCTCTGAGGCCACTTCCAATAGGAAGCCTTCCCTGATCCCACCAGTTAAAAAAAAAAGCCTCAAACCTTTCTTACGAACTAGAAAATCATCAAAAACATGAACATTTCCATAAACAAAGGTCAGATAATAGGAATTAAATGTGAAATTGTGAATCCAGAACATGCAGATTGCATTTTGGTGATTGTGGGCAACTGTTCTATGATAATGGTTTTTATATTACAGTTTATTTGTTGAATTCTCCAGGATATTCTGAGGTTTGTATTTGAAGCCTGAGGGTTGGTCATCTATTTACAAAACATAGAGAACTTCTGATATATTAGTCTAGCCGCCAGGTAGTGTCTTGTCAAGTAAGTGCTAAATTTTTGCAACCTGCAGTGAAACATTGTATACTTTCTACTATTTCCTTACAGAATCTGCATTGATCACTATACCCAGGGTCCTGTAATTTCTGATTCTGGTGGCTTGGTCCTTCTATTTCTATAAAAAGTCTGTGTAGCTCAGTCATTTGTTTAGAGTGTCGTTGGTTGCTTGAATTCATGTGAATGTCACTCATAGAGGGCTTTTAGATTTCATTCTTGGATCTTAGGTGTTCAGTAGGCTCCATGTAGAGGTAAACCACTTCTGATTACTATTAGACAATTTCATAGGTGTGTGCCTATCATCACCTTTTATTTTCTTGGTGAAGCAATATCTGCTTATTACAAAAATATTTCTCTATTTATTATGTGTTCTGAGATATCTATCAATCTTATTCCTCATTTTTTATAAAAAAAAGTTTTCATCTTTCCATAGCTGCCTCAATATGATGGGTCCGGTGTTTATTAAAATTGTATGGCTTTTTATTAGGCTACTTTCCAAATCTGTCATGGTCCATTTTACAGTTCCAAAAGTGTATGTCGAGACTGATATTGCACAGGTATTAGTTGCTTTAAATGTGTTCTTCCCACCCAGCCTTGATTTTAGGATGCCAACAAGGTTCCTGATATACATTGCCACAGCTTTCTTCTTGATAGCTTTATGCTTGATGTGTCTTATCTGGAGGAGAATAAAGTATTTATAAGCATCACCTCGATCCACTGGTTCAATTTAACTTCTGGATTCAAGCTCATAGTCTTTAATCTGTATCTTCCCTTAGTGGATATAAAGAAATTTATACTTATTGAGTTCAAATGACATTTTAATATCAATTGAGAAAGGTTCTAAAAGATGGAATATATTTTGGAATACATATTGTATAATATATTTTTCTGTGGATTTATATAACTTGATGTCATCACGTGCATCAATCAAGTGATTAATAAGATGCTTTGGAATAGCCCTTCCATCTTTAACTTGGAAGTCACAATCAGATACTTTAGGAGAAAGAAGAATATGTTTAAGGCTAGGCAAACTCAGAACGGGCTTCCGGGAAAATACCATGTTTTATATAAATTGTTCTTGATATCATTATGTTGGTGGCATGTTTTAAACAGGGAATAGTTTTCCATGTAACCTATGCTTATGCATTCCTAGACTCCTGGAATAGTCCCCAGAACTAGGTCTATGGCACAGTGTGATCAAAGGTACAATTATGTAATCGGCAAAAAGCACACATTTTTTAATTAAGGGGGGGAATGTTGTAGGTGTGCCCATATACTGTACTCTCCTGTGTCCCCACTGACCTTATTGATAAGGATCTTGTCTTACATTAAAGAAATTTCTCAAAATGAGGTATAAAAATGTTAATTTGCTCCACTGATGAAAACTGTGTTCTGACACTGAATAGTTCCTTAAAAAGGTGTGAAATTTCCTTAATGAGAAATGAAACTCTAATAAGAAGACATGGACAAAAACTGGACAGGAAGAGAAGGCCTGAATGAGTTGCAATCTGTTCCTTGGAGGGCGTACCCATATTCCACGAACCAGACAGCCCCTCTCTTGGCTCCAGGCATTCTCTCTATTTGTCCCCCATGCCTGGAAGTTTCTCCCTTCCCTCTGACTACTTCCATGGTTTCCTTTAATTTCCAATTAAAATCCCACCTTCTATGAGAAACCTTCACCAATCCTTCTTAAGTGCAGTTGCTTCCCTGTTAACTATTTCCTACTTACCTAAGTATAGCTTACTTTGTATATATTTGTTTGCATGTTGTGCCCCTTATTAGATTATAAACTCCCTGAGGGCATGGGACTGTTTTTTCTCTCTCTTTTTATATACCTAGCACTTAGCACAGTGTCTGGCACACAGTAGATGCTTAATAAATATTTATTGATTAGTATTAATGAAATTATAGTTCATTTGAAGCTTTGAGGATAATACCCAGGGATATAAGGAGGTCTATTTCTGAGCATATCAGCATATGTGGACATCAATATGGATATTTTGTGAGTTTTTCTCTGTAAATGAATATTCTTTATTGTCGATGTTTGAAATCATGAATGTCTTACTGAGGTGTGTGTCTAGATATGAAGGAGAAAAATAAAAATAAATTGCATTTATGTGATGGTTCACTTAAAAAAAAAGAAATGAAACTCTTACTATGAATTGGTGTGAATTTCTTACATTGTCCTGAGTCACCCAGGATACCATGCTGAGGATGACTGATTGATTCAGGGTCAGTTCAAATATCTTTGGAGGGATATGAAGTACTAGGGAAGGTATGGAAGAGGGAGGACATTCATGAAGATCTATACCTTGTACTTTACCTTTAAATGGAGGGAACAAAGAGGAGATTCAGAGCAATAGCTCAACACCAAGACAAAGACAAAAGAAAGACTCCACAGAGATATGGACTTGGATCCCCAGAGGGGAGGCCTGTATATCTGCAAGGCCAGGAACTGCAGGAACTTGAGGCAGAATTCCTCAACCAAATGGAAGATTTCTTGGATTATACAGAAGTTAGGAGCCATGGAGCAACAAGGGACAGAATCATGATGCAGAAGAGCAAATTCAGACTTTTTTCCCTTTAGGGGTACATATGGTCTGTGTAGATCCAGGAACTCTTTAGAAAGAGGGATCCTAGGGCCAGCTAGGTGGTGCAGTGGATAGAGCACTGGCCCTGGAGTCAGGAGGATCTGACTTCAAATCTGGCCTCAGACACATAAAAAAAAAAACAAACTCACTAGCTGTGGGATTCTGGGCAAGTCACTTAACCCCAATTGCCTCACTAAAAAAAAAAAAAAAAAAAGAAAGAAAGAAAGAGGGATCCTTCACTGCAGAGAAACCTAGACACAAGCCAAATTTTGTTATTCCCAGAAGAAAATCTGAGGGAAGGCATGAGCCAAAAAAGTGTGATAGTGAGAAGATCCCAAGATTGAACCTGCTCCACGTGAGACTAGACTATGGCTCTAAGCCATAGTTTACACTGACAAACTATATTGGATTTTTATAGCTTGTATGGCTTCCTAAAGTCTATTCTCTTCTTAGTTTCACCCATATTGCTTGGATGACAGCCATGAAGGCAGTGGGAAAAAAAACTGTGGTTATTTAGAGAGAAGAAAACACCGAAATCTGACACATAGCCAAGTAACTATATAATGATAATCACTTGATCTCCATCTCCACTGAGAATAAGAGCTAATGGGCTTGAGCTGCAGCAGGAATATTTATATTAAATACAACTTGGGATAAAGTCTATGATAAAAATTCATTTTTGTCTTTGTACTCCTAGTGCCTAGCACAGTGGCTGATATTTAGCAGGCACTTAATAAATGGAATAACTACACTTCCTCTTCTAAGGAATCCTTTATCCCTGCCACCCACACCATCAGTGTGCTGCACCCTGTGTTTTCTTCTCACCTTTTCCATTAGACTCTGCATCTTCTCAACTTCATTTTCAAGTTGTTTAATCCTTCCATCTCGTTGTTCCACTTCATTTGTTAAACGTTCCTTGGCTTTCCGAAGCTTAATTTTATGGTGATAGTGTTTCTCATTATAATTTCTGTGGAATTAAACACAAGTGTATAACTATAACATAATGTCAGGATCTACCTTGCCCCCTCACCCATCTCCTTGACTGGCCTTTCTGATCTTTCTGTCCTGGAGATCTTGGCAGCAGGTACTGACCTTTGACTTTCCTCACATCTGCCCCCAAATGGTATGGGGAATTGAACTACTGGTATTTCTCATAAAAGGAGACTGAAAGTTTGAGCACTTTGTTAGTTCAAAACTTGCCTGAGATGTGCCATTATAAAGAATCTCTGATTTCTGTCACTTACTTCAACCCTTGTTTTGACTTAGGACTAGTTAGGCAACTCATTTACTACTTCTGAGTGACATCACTTAACCTCTTTGTGCCTCAGTTTCCTCATTTATAAAATAAGGGAGTTGGACAAGATGACCTCTAAGGTCCCTTCCAATTCGAAATCCAAAATCTCATAATCCCATAAACGTAATTCAGGGCAAATTGCATAATCTGGACCAGCTGTCCAGGAAGAGGAAGAAGTAAAACAAATGAGATATCGAAGTCTCCCGTCACTATAGTGTTACTGTGTATGTCTTCTTGAAATTCAGATGTTTCCTTTGTGAATTTGTATGCTAAGGCATTATAATGTAATATAATATGTTGTAATATGATATAATATAATATAATAAAGTTTATTACTGATACTGGTTTGTTGTCTATAGTTCCTGTAAGCATAATATAGTTTCCTTGTTTCTTTCCTTCTATTTTTTGAATGTTTGTTTTTGCTTTGTCAGCATGATTGTCACGCCTGCATCACATGATGTATGGTAAATTTTTTCCCATCCCCTCAGTTTTATTTTGTGTTTTTGTTTTTTAAATGTGTTTCTTGTAAGCAACAGATTGTAGGGCTTCATTTTCTTATCCAATCTGTCATTTTTTCCCACTTTATTGGATTGTTTAATCCATTCACAGTTAAAGTTATAAGAATTAGGTTTATACTTGAGGAAAAATAAATGGAAAGAGAGTGGGAGTGCCTATCTAAACTCCCAAAAGACTGAGTGGGACCTGCAAACTAGGTGTGAGCACACGGTCCAGCTGCTTAGGAGGGAGGAGATAAAAAGGACAGACTCATTGTGAGCCAAACCAGAGTAGAAGATTCAGACATGCAGAAATCCAAGAGTCATTCTTACAGGCACTGGAGAAGACACTTTGTATGAAGGATGGCATTATGATTGGGACTCAGATGTTCAGCAACAGAAGGTACAGAAAGACTGGACTGATTCTGGCTTCAGAAGTATGGAAGAGTTGACACCCTGGTAGATGAAATGCTGGTATTATCAATAGGCCTGCTGTACAACACCTGAACCTTAGAAGTAACTCGCACCAATTTCTGGGGAGTAGTGACTAAAGCAGAGACCAGCAAAACAAAACAAAACAAAAAAGCAAAAAAAAATGTAATTCAGTAGGAAGATAGAGAGGTGAAAAGCTTCTAGCAAATAAGAAACATGGTACCCACAGGCAATAGAGCTATTGGCAAAAAAAAAAAAATGCTGTAGCAGAGCTCTAACATGAAGGAATGAACCTGGGTTCTTCCCTTTTACACTAGCTAACTAGGATTTATATTGCACTTTAAGATGTGCAAAACACTTTACAAAGGTTATCTCATTTGATCCTCACAATAACTCTGTCAGATACTATTAGGCCCATTTTACAGAAGAGGAGATGGAAACAAACAGGGTTACATAGCTAGTCAATGTCTGAGGCCAGATTTCAACTCAGGAAGATGAGTCTTCCTTATCTCAGGCCTGGCACGCTATCCACTGAAAAACATCAAAAGATCCACCAAATTCAATCAATATATACTTTGATAATTGATTATTTTTGTGCAAAGGTTGGCAATAGGTGAATAAAGTGAAAAATGTTAGAAAATATGACAGAGAAAGGCCAAAGTCTTATTGATTACAGTAGCCTCACACCTATATGATACATATTTGTCAATAAAAGAATTATTGGTTGTGGCAAATATCAAGTAACACTACAAAAAGATTTATATTATATTAGATTAAATTACTTTGGTGCTTCAACTTTCATTTATTGGCAAATGACATTCTTATAGCCAGATCCATTGCAACAAAAGTGTGAGGTTTTTTTTTTTTTCCAAACTGACAACAGAAAAGAAATCTTGGAAAAACATGGATATTCACATCATGAGAGGCTGAGAGTGGCTAGTAGTAGCCAGGAGTGTAGTGAGGCCTGTAGCCTGGGACAGTAGGGACTAGTCAAGACAGAATTCCCTCCATATCCTAGGCCCCACAATGGGAAAAAAGTGGCTTACACTTGGAAGCCATTTTACTTCTTTCCTAGAAGGTAGGCCATCATTGCTAAATCTCTCATTATTTACCAAGAAGTATTAGCTTTTAAAAGATAAATGCAGTTTCCATTTACTTTTAACTTAACATGTGAGACCAAGACATTTCCATTTACATGATGGGGGGCGGGGGAGAGAAAGGGAAGGTGTTCTAGTCAGGAAGATGAAGGCATCTAGTTACCGTAAGCATCTAAACACATACATGCTAAGAATGCTGCTTACTTTGCGTACAAGAAAGATGTCTAAACTAACTTAAAATCTAACATTGATTATATATTATCTTAATCCCTTCTATCAGAGATGATTTGTAGGTGAAAGGGTACTGAGGCCACAAGCTAGGCCATGGCTGTTCAACCTTTACACTTCACTAAGGGTGTACTGGGAAATCAGTGTTGCTGGGAAGGGAAAGAAAGTTCTAATATAAAGTTTAAGAAGAAACTTTAATCTTTCTTCTTTGGTGTTTTAACAACGTAATGCCACCAACAGCTACAAATGGACACTATAAAGAGTTGCTAGCCCAATGGATGTAGGCAGGGATAAGGAAGAAAGGATGGTGGAGCTCTGTGGAGAGCCAAGTGCCCTCGGATGAAACTGGCAGCACATGGATGATGTTGGGGAAGCCTGGATCTGCACAATGACCAAGTCATCTTTCTTGAAGAAGCCACAAGCTTTTATAATTTCCATACCAAATTTAACTTTGAATTCCACATCTTCAGCCTGTGACTCATGGATGGGCTCTCCACATATCACAGGAAAGTTGGCTCAGTATGGATGAACCTGGGGTGCTACCTGATCACTATGAGCCACAGCAATGATGGAAGTCTAAGGATAGCACCTAGCTACCTGAGGAGCAGACCTTCCAGACTTGATAAGGACATTAATAACCTCACTGTAACACTTGAAGGAAGCCTCTGTGGCATGCATAGCAGCAGTGTCAGTAGGACTTTTTGTCAAAAGAGGCCAGTGGTGAAGCTCCACAAATAGCTATGAGTAAAAGATGGAAGCCTCTGCCTCTCAGGTAATAAAGCGTTGCATTGACATAGCCTTCACCTCGTAGTCTTCTTTGGCTGTCTCCCAAGACAGAGTAATGCAATCAGTTCCATCCAGGACAAATCACAGCTCTTAGGGTTCACGGGGTGTGGCTTATTACTCATGCTATTTAGTATCTGAGTGGCCCAAATAACAGATTTCCCAACTTGATTACACATTTTAATGACTATAATATGAACAAGAAAGACATTTGCTGTGGGGATCACAATATCCAGGTCTCCAGAGCCACCATGACACCATCACTGGCTTCCCGTGTCTCACAACATCTTTGGACGTCCTTCACGGCTTTCAATCTTACTGATGATAGTGATGTTCTTTATTCATTCTCCAAGGACCTTTACGACAACAGTTGCCTTTCAAAGGAAAAATATAAACACCGTGTCCACATCTGTTCTGTTCCACAGTATAAATCTTTCATATCCTCCTCAGAAAGTTGCAGGCAAGTCTGCACTTGCCGTAGGAGGGCTCACATCCTTCTTGCTGCCCAAAATGCCATAATTCTCCACCTCAGTCCTAAGAAAATCCCTCATTTTTCACTTTACAAACAGAGAAATGAACCCATTATCCACAAAGATTTTGCTGCCAACTCCCACCACTCTGTAAATGTTTTTGTAGTCTGCCCATGGAATGCTGTCATCACGTGTCTCCATGTCTCCATCGTTCATGGTGAGCTTCAGAGTCCTGCCCTCTTCCACTCTGCTTCAGCTGGCCACTGCCCCTAATATGCCACTGTCTAGTCCTTTGGTTCTCACTGCTTTAGCCATAAGCCAGTAAAGAAAAGCGTTAGAAATGAAGTTCTCTGTGGCTTTTTGTACATTTGCAATGATCTCTGCATAGTACTCATGATTTTTATGGGAAACGTTTAGACAAACAACATGCATTCTAGCTTTAATTATCTCTTTTAACATTTCCACAGAAGGGGATGCTGGGCTTATTATATATGTGACATCAATGTTTTGGACATGGATAGGCTCTAAGTTGATGTCCAAATGACATATGTGTTCCAAGGAAAGTGTCCACCATGGCAGCACTGTAGTTCCTGGTTCCTACTTTATTGTGTGACTTTGCCATGGTTACAATTCTTTCATTTTCTGGCTTTTTCTTAGCACCTCTTGTCTCATTTAAAATTATTGGAAGGAACACCTTGAAGGATAGAATACTCTCTCTCTCTCACTATTTTTTTTTTTTTGTGTGAGACAATCGGGGTTAAGTGACTTGCCCAGAGTCACACAGTTAGTTAAGTGTTAAGTGTCTGAAGCCATATTTGAACTCAGGTCTTCTTGACTTCAGGGCTGGTGCTCTATCCACTGAGCCACCTAGCTGCCCCTAGAACGCCCTCTTTATTTATCACTCCTCTGATTACAATTTAAAAGACAGGAAATGATTCATTACAGTGGATCATTCCTAAATCAGCTCTGACAGCAAAAAAAAAAAAAAATCAAAATTACTACAAAACTGGAATGAAGGATAAAATGAGAAAAGTATATGGCATGCAATTAAAATAATTTCTATATGACCTACTTAAACAAATAATTGATTCTGGAAAGTAGGAAATGAATGGAGGAAAAGATATAAATACTGATCATAACAATTTCCTACAGAAATTTAATCAATGTAAATAGATACAATGTAAATAAATGAGGGTGTCAAAAAAGCCTAAAAGCTGCCTAAGCGAAAAAATACTTGATCTCCTTGCTAAATAGAGAGACTTGGCAGCCAAGGGCAATGTCAGCTTAGAATTGATTAATTTGTTAAATATAAGCAAACTGTTTCATAAAACAGAGGGGAAAATAGGAAGATAAAAAAGTTCAAAGGAAGCGTGGTACTTACAATTAAGAAAAGTAGCTCTGAAAGCACTTAAAGATGAAACCAGAAGTAGGACACCAAAAGAAAAATGGAAAAAATAAAGATTTTTGTAACAAAGTCTCTTCATCACCAAGAACCGTGTGGCTACAACATTTGCACCCTATTAAACCTCATAATTACCAATGTGCTGGCGCTGCTTGAAGAAGGGAAATTGGTACAGAAGACAACAAAAAAGAGAAAAGCAACTGGATGTGAGGCCAACTCTGTACAGGAGGCCCATGCTGTAAATGGTATAATGTTGAGGGTGCTGAGGGATTGATTCTCAAAGTATCTGTGGTGAGAGAAGATAACAAAGGTGTGGAAAAAATCTTATACCTTATTATTACTGCCCCCCCTGCAAAAAGTTCAACACATGGGAAGACAGAAATACCAATGCATTGTTGGTAGAGCTGTGAATTAGACCAATTGCTTTGGATTTCAGTTTTGAATTTTATAAGAAAAGTGATTAAACGGTCTAGACTCTTTGACCTTAAAGAAATGAAACAGAAAACAGGGGTCTAACATATACCCAAATATTCAAAGCAGCAATTTTGGTGGCAAAGAACTGGAATAAATGTGTGTCCATCAGCTAAGAAATGGCTGAAAAAACTATTAATGTTTAGTAAAAAAAATGACAAATGTAAGGAATCCAGAGAAAATTTGTATGAACATTTGCAGAGCAAAATTAGAATCAAGAGAATGAAAAATACACAATAGATACAATGATGCGAATGAAAAGATCACTAAAAGGAAATTGAATTCCCTCGTGCAACTTCCTTTTGAAGTAATGGAAAAGTCATTAAATTCCCAGAGAAGAAGTAATGAAATTCCCTCACGGAACGTGGGAGACTACAAAGACACACTATTGTGTATGATGTCAGATACGGTTCTGTATCAGATGTTTTTGTTTAACTGGTTTTCTTTGTCACAAGAGAGGGTTCAATCTGGGTGCAAAGGCAGGAAATGACTATGTTGCAAAGATAAAAGACACCAATAAAGTGTATTTTTTAAAAAGGCAACTGATAGAACTTCAATAACTACTGCATCAAGTCATACCTATTTTCTCACCTCTCTAAATGTAATGGGGGTCTGGCGCATTTGCAGAAACGATCAGTTTGCTGCAATGGTGGCATTCACGTGAAGGACATTAGGGAGCTATTTCTGGGAGAATTGTGAGGACTGGAAGATGTATGGACCTTCTACAACTCACATATGCAAAATGGGGATAATAAGAGTACCTAGCTCCCAAGGTTGTTGTGAGGATCAAAGAATCAAATCAGATACTTAATGAGTTGCTTTTTATGCACTGTGCCTCACACGTAACAGGTGCTTATTAAACGCTTGCTTTCTTCCTTTCCTAGACACCGTCCATGCCTGTTCCAATCTCTCCAAGGCATTTTCCTTGCATAACATTAAGATTTTCTTAGAAGCAGCTCTCCACTATCCTAGAGGAGATGCATGTCAGCAAGCTGATGAGGGTCTACGGATACAACAGATGCTCATTACATAAAATTTTGTGAAAATAACTTATATACACATGAAGGGCATCCTTTGTGAGTATACTAGAAAGGAAAAGTGATATTCCGCAGTAGATGACATTTTTACCATCTAAAAATGAACTGAAAGAGAGAATACAAGATCCCACTATGCTTTCTGTTTGCCGACTATAAAAAGATATTTAGTAGAGTAAAATGACACCTTAAAAACTCCTCTCCAATGAAGTGTCTCCTCTACATGTCAAAAGTAGGTAAGATTTTCAGAAAGATATAATAGTAACAATAATGATAATATTAATAGCTGACATTTGTGTAATGCTTTAGGGCATGCAATGAATATTATATATGCTATTTCACATGATCAGCAACAGAAACAATTATATGACAACTTTTTGATTATTACTAAAACTGAGGCATAAAACAGGGAAATGTATGCTTGCCAAAGGTGTTTACCACTAGCATGCAGAAGAGCCAATGCAGAGGCAAAGTTGAAGAAGAACCCTTCTCCTAGAGATGTGAGTTAAGTTTATCCTGCTAGATGCTCCTGTTTGTGGATGACATTAGACTTGCTGCATCAGACCCTGGAACATTGTAGAAAATCCTAATAAGATCCCACATACAGTAGTTTGGCTTAACTAAGGAAAAAAAAACAAGTGGATGAAGAATGCTAATTATTCAGACTATCAGGTACAGTTGGATACACAACCTTGAGGGCACATTTCTCTCTAGCTATATATCCATATGTATACATCTCTACAGACTTATAACTTTATATTTATACTTAGACAGATATGGCAAATTAACAATGATCCTGGGCCAAACATTGAAGAGGTGGAGAATAGTGTGTTGAATTGCCTTTGGGAAATTGTAAAGTTTTTCTAATGACCTCAAGTTTTAAATAACATGATTCCTCCTTGGAATATTGATCATAGGATAAAGGGCAATAAAGATACAGAGAAGGTGTGAACTGTATATATGCAACATATTACAAAAAGGAATTACACAGAAGCAGAGTAAATGATCGAAGAAATGTGTGACTGGAAAAAAAAAAGATAGGCTGGTCATGTAGTAAAATGAAAGATCACTTAGATAGTCTCCATTCTCCACTGATGTTCATGTGATGCTAAGAGACGCTGAGGAAGGCCCCCTGTGGCAAACTTATAGGAAGACCTATACAAGACTAAAAGACAACCATGGATGAGGTGTGATCTCCATTGTTGGTAGGAATACCCACCATGATCAAACCAGAGATCCCCTGGAGTAGGGGAGTACAGTAGGTTAGGATGGCCAAAAAGCAGAGAGAGGATTCTTCTGACCCAAAAAGGAATAAAAACTTAAAGCCCTGGAAGGGGCTCTGCCCAGATGCTGGGAAAGGAAAAAAGGAGACCATATTTCGAGCTGAGGAGACAAGCAGAGACTGGTTAGTGTTTGAAATAATTACTGATAGAGTCTAAATGGAGTCAGGAAGAGTTCCTGCCCTAGAGAAAAACAAACAGTAGTGAGGGAAAAGTACCAAGGGGCAAACACATAAATATTGGGTGAAGTTTGGACAGAGGTGACCCAGGGAAGCACCAGCTCTCAGATCTGACAATCTGAATGCCCAGTAACAGTTTTTAATTGTATATTGGAAGGGATATATATCTCTTCTTGCTTACCCCAAAGCAATTATTCTATGAATTAGATTTAATATATATCTGCTTTCTGAGTGAATTATGATTCTGGATTTATTACTGACATTATTATCAATGCTACTGCTACTTAGCAATTTCCTTATCTGCAAAATAATGGGATCTAATGAGATGTTCTCTAAGATAATTTTTAACTCTTAATTCTATGAATTTATAACAATACCTTACATTTATATAGTGCTTTACAGCTTTAAAATCTCTTTTGATTCGATCTTCATAATAACTTTGTGAAACAGATAATGTATTATTATTCACATTTTACAGATAAAAGAAAATGGAGGCAAAATGACTTGCAACTAAGAAATGGGGGAACCTGGACATGAACTCAGGTCTTCTGACTTCTAGTTTAGTGGATCATCTTTACATTGCATCCTGCTGTCTCTTATTTACCTCATAAGGACATCAAGCTGCTTCAAAAATTGTCTATATTCTTCTTTTAAAGAATCCCTCTCTTTTTGTAACACAGACAGCTTCTCCAATAGCTCCTGATTGTTCTTAACTTGCTGGAAAACAGAAGAATTTTGTACACAGAACCTCAAAAAATTATTTGGTAAAAATTAATCCTAATGGTCACTTACACAGACTATTAAGATATTTTAATGATAAACTAAACTACAGAGAGGAAGCACCAAGGAAGAGGAGAACAATATCAAACCATGGCCAACAGGGCTCATTTAAAGTCAGTTATGCAGCCACAGAGAGACGGATGAAATGAATGTGGTATAGCAGACAGGAGATAGAGGGCTGTATCTAGTGAGACTATCTATATCTGTCAATACATACATATCTATCTATATAGAAGTGCGGAGGAGTTAAAAAAAAAGATAAGGGAGGCTCTGCTGGGAGAGGACAGAAGATAAAGGACCTTGAATGCTGGGGCGCTGGACACAAAAGGGGAATCAAGGGAAATCATGTGAATGACTCATTGCAAACTATGACCTTCCCTAGGAATCCACTATTTCATCAGTGTAGGTGCTCCCTCAACCCACACAGATCACAACCTCTCTACACCTTAATAGATGGGTTTTACAAGTTACTGTGGTTCAAAATTCATCACCAACCTTTTGGTGATGGGCCTCTCTGAACTAAGCTGGGCCAGTTGTTGGATAAGAAACACCACTGGGAAACCCTTCCAGTTCAGTAGGACCTGCCAGAGCTTGTACTCCACTGGCACAGCCTTTGAGAGCTACCTCCACACCATGATAAGGCAATGGAGGAAGACTCCAATGGACTCATTCACTCTACAAGAAAAATAATTCAGAGGGAATGTCCCATTGCCAAGGGGCTAGTGACACCATTTTTATATGTGATAGTACATTATTACTTGCAAAATATAGGCTTGATGTTGGATATGATCTAATGGATAATGTTATTACTCTTCTATTGCTTTCCAGATTTCACCAAATAGGTTAAGTCTTCAAGAAATGCAAAAGCAAGGAAAGGCATTCTCTTTTTACTCTTACCTCATCATATCTTTTCTTTTCATCTTCTAATGTTTGAAGTTGGACTTCTTGTTGTTCAATCTTATATTGTTGCTTACAATTAGACTGTTCCATAAGAGCCTCTTTAGCATGTAAATATTGTATGTGTTGCTGTAGTTCATCTACATTTTGATCTAGTAGTTTCCTGTGGGCAGGTTAAAGCACTATGATGATGATAAAGCAGCTATGACCATATAACTCATTCACAGACATGGCGCACAGGTATCTAGAGTGGACAAATAGGTTTTCCGTTTCCCCCAAATAAGAGTCTCATAGCCATATTTGTGAGAGACTTGTAGCTGGCTAATGAGCCTGCTTCTACTCTACCTCTCCAATGTCTCTGCTTATATTTGCAAGTAGCAGGTTTATAAATACAATGCACTGCTTTGGTTCCCTCCCATCTCTACTCCTCTATTTCTCTATGCCTCATTTTTAGTAATAATCAGAAAGTTGTCATATAATCGTTTCTGTTGCTGATCATGTGAAATAGCGTATATAATATTCATTGCATGCCCTAAAGCATTGCACAAATGTCAGCTATTAATATTATCATTATTGTTGCTATTATATCTTTTTGGAAATCTTACCTACTTTTGACATGTAGAGGAGACACTTTATTGGACAGGAGCTTTTAAGGTGTCATTTTACTCTACTAAATATGTGCTTTGTTGTTGTTGTTGAGTCATTTTCAGTCATGTCTGCTTCTTCGTGACCCATTTGGGGTTTTCTTGTTAAAGACACTGTAGAGGTTTGCCATTTCCTTTTCCAGCTCATTTCACAGATGAGGAACTGAGGCAATCAGGGTTAAGTTATTGCCCAGGGTCACACAACTAGTGTCTGAAGCCAGATTTGAACTTACAAAGATGAGTCTTCCTTAATCCTGGCCCAGCACTCTATGCAGCGGGCTACCTAACTGCCCAAACTTGAACAATTCTCTGCTACCACTGGCTCCTTCTTCCACGTGGTTCTACTCCTATTTTCTGGCAAAAAGAGCAAGTCTAAGACTTTGGTCTGGTGTTAAATTACAAGTTGGCGACCCATATGCTAACTATATCAAAGACAACACTCAATGAAAACTCAAACATTTTGAGTTATAACCAAGGAACACTTCAGAAAATAATTGATATATAATGTGCTGATAGTCCAAAATAAGCAATGACCAAATTCTGGTCCAGAAATCAGAAGTTATACTATTTTATAAAAATAATAGAGCAGTGAAACTTCCTGGCACGATCTGCTCCATTTGCTTGAATCATAAAACCCTACATGAAAATATGTTTATTTTTGTCAGAGGAATTTAATAAAGTATGACAACCGTTGAAAATGCAAGGAAGCTAATCATCATAATAGCAACTGGTCTAGAACTGAACATTCTGTAGGACCAAGGCAGAAGCATGCTAGAGTAAGAGCTGATTGGTAAACTTTCAGGGTGAGCATTTACACCTTGGAAATCAACAAAAGCTACAAATCAGGACTTGATTTAGTTTCTTTGATTTTCTGCAATTAAAAAAGTGATGGAGAAAATGTTAATAATGAAGATTAAACTTAGAAATGTATCATGTGCACTTTTTTCCCCTCAGTCAGCCAATTATTAAACATTTACTAGCACACCTCTAGACCAAAGATCTGTTCTACTGGATCAACATTTTAGAAAGCAGCAGGCCCAGATACAAGTCATTATTGTTCTCTCCCTATAGCTGAACATTGCAATATACTTAGCCATTAATATATCTTATTAAAATAATATTTGTAGAGTGATTGAGATGGTCCAAAGAACAATGAACCCCTTTAAAGGAAAACATTGGATCCATATAAAACATCATGAATAATATGAATTTGTTTTATACAAGTGTGGGAGATAATTATCTCGTATGTTGTTCAGTCATTTCAATTGTGCCTAATTCTTCGCGACTCCCTTTGGGGTTTTCTTGGCAAAGACAACCGGAGTGGTTTGTCACTTCCTTCTCCAGCTCATGTTACAGATGAGAAAACTGAGGCAAAGAGGGTTAAGTGACTTGCCTAGGGTCACACATTTAGTAAGTGTCTGAGGTCAGATTTGAACTCAGGTCTTCCTGACTCTAGGCCTAGCACACTATCCACTACGCCACCTAGTTGCCCACTATTTCATACACTGTCACAGTCTGTAGACTATGGGTCTAAGATTAAAGGGGTTATGTAATTACAAACAACTTCAAATATTCTAACAAATGACTTATAAGCATTACTCATATACTAAGAGCCACCCCAGATGGGTTAGCTATAGAAAATCCTCCAGTCTCTCAATGAATAATGCCTTCCTACCACCCCTAATTCTTCCCATACACATGCTTGCCAGAAATAACTTATATTTCTATTTTTCATACCATTAACCCTCACCAGAGAGCTGACCCCCATCCTATTCCTGTAATCTCCCATACTCTTTCATTAACAATCGTATCTCGTAGACTCTTTTTTAATTATCTCTGCTTCCCCCCATTCTCCACCAAGGCAAGACCATGTCACCATTCCTAACCACTTCTATCCCCACTCATAACCTTTGGGAGCTTCTACCAAAATACTCACCTCCCACCTCATGACTCTGGTTGTCCTTCTTTCTGACCCTAGCACATGAGTTGGGGCAAATAATTCCCAATGACTTCTGATGGTAGCGGAAGAGACTGAGGCTAAGGGAAAAGGGATTGTCTTCTAGAGACTGTGACTACAGCAGGGATAGAGTGTTCCTAGCATCCAAAGTTCCCAGATGAACGCATTTACCCATAAAAATGAAAAGAAATCATAATTGCTATTGCTATAGTTCAGTTACATTTGGGTTAAATGGGCCTCTGTGGGGGCATTTAGGAAGCAAACCCCATTTTACAATATCGTTTCTGTGTTAAAAAAAAAAAGTATTCCAAGTTTCAGACAATTAAGTTATAATGAATGTGTGGAGTATTACCCCAGTTAGAAAGTTAGGGATGGTCCATAAGTCTTTCTAATGTTAGGTTAATAGTACCAGACAGTTACTTCCTAGAATGTAATCTCTGCCCCTTATAGCAAATTACAATTGCTGTTCCTATTACCTCTTCTGTTGTTCTTCCTGATACTGCATTTTTAGTTTGGCCTCATTTTTTCTCGCTTCTTTTACCGCTTCTTCAAGCTGCTTTTTATCTAAAATGCAAGTTTTTGTACAAGACTCATTTGCAGCTTCCAATTTCTCCTGGAGTTCCAAGACCTTGAGTAGAAAATGATGAGAAAGTAATACTCAGAAGATTGCAAACTGCTTTTAAATCAGACAAATCCTAGACAAACCCCGAAACAAACAGTATTGTTGTGCACTTCAGCCTAATGTCAGGTGTAGCTTGAAATCCAGAAACAAGTACAGAATTCTCTACACTCTGCACTGATGAGAAAGCATTTGGCAGGAATGGGGGGACAAACTGGTGTATTAATGCAACTGGAATATGACTTCATTGTCAATACTGTAATGAGAATCAACTGGGAAAGAGTTAGCTACTCTGATCAATACGATGATCCATGACAATTCCAAAGGACTTATGATGAAAAATGCTATCCATCTCCAGAGAGAGAACTGATAAAACTCTGCAGATGGAGGCATATTGATCTTCACTTTATTTTTTTATTGCTTTTTATTTTTCATAACATGTCTAATACGGAAATATGTTTTGCATGACTTACTATATATAATGAGTATCACTTCTTGCCTCCTTAGTAGATGGAAGAGGGGGTGGAGGGAGGGAGAGAATTGGGAATTGAAAGTAAAATATTTTTAAAACTCTTTAAAATGCCCATGTTCTAGTAAAAAAAAAACAATAAAAATGTTTAACAAAATAAACAAAAATACAATAAAACACTTTTAAAAAGAAAATATTTGATACTGTCTCAAATCAGGTACCAGCAATTCCTACTCTGGATGTCAAGGATGTTTTGAAGACTGACTACAACTATGAAATACTTTTTATTAATTTTGCTCTAACACCTTTATTTGATGAACATGTACAAGTCTAGGCATGATATCAGTTATTGGTAACAAAGATAGCTAATTGTATCTTGGGGTTTAAATAATAATATTAATATTAGTTAATAATGACAACATGATACATCACTTTGAGGTTTGTAAAACAACTTGTTCATACTTGCTCATTTTTTTCTCACAACAGCCCTACCAGGTAGGTGCCATTTTTATCCCCATTATACATCTGTGGAAACTGAGGCTAAAAGAGGGAGATTCTTTTACCAGGAATACACAGCTCTAAGTCAAAGTCTTCCTGCCTCTATGCCTGGTACTACATCCACTGTACCATCTACTTACCTTTAAATGTTGCTGCAAACAACACTGCTCTGCTTCTTTTTCTCTTCTCTCTCTACCCGCTGGCTGCCAACCTCATCCTTCAAGCAAATTGCTCTCTCCAAAGTGACCAATGGTCTCTTAATTGCCACATCTACTGACCTTTTCTCACCCCTCATCCTTCTTCACCCCTCTGTAGCCTCTGACACTGTCCTCTTTGTGTTTTCATGATGCTGCTCTCTCCTGGTTTTTCTTCTGCCTATCTGACTGTTCTTCCTCTGTTGCTTTGCTGGACCTTTGTTCATGTCACGCTTGAGTGTGAGGGATTGTCTGATGTTGACTACGTGCCATGTGGGGGTTGTGGCAAGATGGGGCAGGGACAAGATATTAGGAAGTAACCGAAGCTTATGCTCCTGAGGCAGGGGGCTGTGCCATGTGGAGTTGCGGAACTGGAGTAGGAACTGGGTACGGAGAAATAACCGGAGCTCACGCTCCCAAGGCAGGGGGCTGTGCCATGTGGAGTTGTGGTGAACTGGGGTAGGAACAGGATACAGGGAAGTAGCCGGAGCATGTGCTCCTGAGGCAGGGGGCTGTGCCATATGGGAGTGGGATGGCAGAGAACGAGCTCCCTTTGTCTAGTCCTCTCCCTAGGTGCAGCGCTAACCCCAGACGCCTCCTTCTGGTATCTGGGCCTAGCTTCCTTTGTCCCGTCCTCTCCCTTGGTGCAGTGCTAACCCCAGACATCCCCTTCCGGTATCTGATCCTACAATTAATCACTAGTAGGTGGGCTGAGGAGGAGGGGCTAGGAAGGTATATAAGGGTAGGGGTCGGAGCTCGCTCTCTTGCTCCTGCTCTTGCTTTCCTGCTTGGCCTTGCTGTGATGGTCTCTGAATAAAGTTCGAGTGCTTGCACCTCCCGATCGGCTCGTGTCTATGTTTATCCGGGTGGGCTCCGAGGACTGGTGAGTATGACCCTGGTAGCCTGCTCCTGTTAGAAGGAGAGTGCACGGCCCGACCGGCACACTTGAGGGTGTATATCCCCCAAGGCTCTTGGGCCTGTCTCCTCTTCTTTTGACATACTACTTCATTTCATCAGCTCCCATGGTTTCAGTCATCACTTCTATGCACATCACTCTCAGCTATACTTGTCCAGCCCTAACTTCTCTCCTGGGCAGCCAGGTGGCCCCACACTGCACAGAGCACTGGCCCTGGAGGCAAGAAAACTCATCTTCCCGAGTTCAAATGTGGTCTCAGACACTTACTAGCTGTGTGACCCTGGGCAAGTCACTTAACCCCGATTGCCTCATTTCTTCATCTGTAAAATAGCAAACCACTCCATTATCTTTACCAAGGAAACCCCAAAAGGGGTCATAAAGAGTTGGACATGACTGAAATAACTGAACAACAACAACATCATCTCTGCTGACCTCCAGTCTTACATCTCCAGCTGTCTTCTAGCCACGGTCACCTCACTACTCAGTAACCTCCAGTCCTGCTTAGCTTTCAAAGCCCTGCCTAACCTGTCATGTCCCAGCCTGCTGCACTCCTTCAGACTTCCCCATCCAGCCGTGTCTTCATTTCCCATAGAGCTGCACTCCCTTCTGAGAGTGGTCTCCCCTGCTAGACTGTAGTTTCCTCAAGGGCAGGGCCTGTGTTTTCTGTTTGTATCCCCAGCACTTAGCACAGGGCCTGGCAGTAGAAGGTACTCCTTTCTCCCTTTCCAGCCTTCTCAGGCCTTAGCTCTGTCTAGGTGCTCTGCAAGCTGATGACACCGGCCTCCTGCCTGTTCCCTGACTCCCAGCAATGACACTGGCTGGCTCCCATGCAGGGAATGCTCTCTCTCCTCCTCTCCACCTCTAGCTTTCCTGGCTTCCTTCAGGCCTCAGCTAAAGTCCTGCCTTTCCTGATCCTCCTTAATCTTTGTGCCTTTCCTCTCAGACTATCCCCTATTTACATCTTTGTTTGTGCATAGTTTTTGTTGTCTCCCCCATTAGACTGTGAGCTTCTTGAGAGCAAGGATTTTTTTTTTTACCTTTCTTTGTGTCCCCAGTGTTTAGTACCATGCCTGGCACATAGTAGGTGTTTAGTAAATGCTTATTGACTGAGTCTATAAGTGTTATCTGCTTGATGTTCCACGTTTGCTTAGATCAAGCTGTTCTAAAAAATGTATACATATTTAATATAAATTGTAGAAAATTCATGATGAAATCTGGGTCGACTTGAGTAGAGAGCTAAACCTTTCAATCTTAGTCAAAGAACTAGTTTCTAGTTTGGACCATATTACTGTGGCATACTTCAACCACCTGGGAGCACTATATCTAAATTTTATTATAATTATTTACAATAATAATAGCTGACATTTATATAGAATATTACGGTTTGCAAAGACTCTTACATACATTATTTTATTTGATCTTCAACAACCTTGTGGGTATTATTTTTCCCACTTAGTTAGTAAATGTCTGAGGCAAGATTAAAGCCCTGGACACTTCTCACATTTACCTAGTACTTACCTAACAACCAGGTGGTGAGAATTGCAGATGAATAAATCAATTTGCCCAAGGTCACACAGCTCCTAAGGATTGGGGCTAGGATTTGAGCTCAAGGCTCCTTTCACTCTCAGTCTGGTGGCTGACTACAACACACTTAAAAAAATACTTTTCAAAGTGAAAGTGCAAAACAAAACATATAAAGGGATAGCTTTGGGACAGTCTGACTCTAACCTGTTAGATGGTAGACACACTAAACTTACTTTACTAAGTCAAGTAGGGCAGAGCTAAGGGCAGTGGATAGAAACTGCAAAGGAGAAAGTTGAGGCTTGAGGCAGGGAAAACTTCCTGACAATTATACCTATCTACATGGACTGTCCTGGCATGGTGGACACTTCCACACCCAAGTTCTTCAAGGAGAGACTACAATCACTTGTTCAGTGTGTTGAAGAGGGGACTTCTTTTTCATGTGTGAGCTAGACAAGATGGCAACTGAAGACCCTTCCAAATATGATATTCTGTAATCCTATGAAGGTCACATTGTGGTTTTAATAGATGCTACTCTTTCAAATTCACACTATTGGAGGTGGGGAGGGGAAGGAAAACCCAGAATCTAGAAGCTGTGGAGTATGGGGAGATGAAGAAAAGGTCAGATCCTAAGTATTTTTTCCTGCAAATACCCAGAATTGATTCAGGTTGTGATTATGAACTTCACAATTACTGGAATATTGAGAAAGAGGATTTCAGTGATAGTTTCCAGGCCTAGTTATTGAAAAGAGCCAAACGTAAATAGTTACAATTACCTTTTTCTCTGTATAAGCCACTCTGGTTTTCTCTTGAGCAAGTTTTTCATATAAATTGTTTTGTGATTGAATATTCTCAGATTGTCTAAGCATTTCTTGTTCAAGCTCTCTTACTTTCTGCTGACTACTTTCCCAGTCTGCTGTGATGGAAGAACACATATTTGTGCTATCTAGTAGTTTCTTCTGGGCCTGCTTCAATTCAGCTTTGATCTAGAGTTGGGGAATAAAAATGACAATTTTATAGTAGACCAAATTTCAGCATTCCAAGAAACCTATCTTTTCTCGGGTAACTGAGAAAAAAAATCTTTGTAGAAAGTTTCTTTGATAAAGGTGTCATATCCAAGATACATAGGGAACTGATTCAAATTTATAAAAACAAGAGCCATTCCCTAACAAGTAAGCAGTAAAAGGATATTAACAGTTTTCCAAAGAAAACATCCAAGCTGTCAACAAGCATACTAAAAATGCTCCAAGTTACTAATAATTAGAAAAAAGCAAATGCACACAACTGTGAAATTCTACTACACACCCATCAAATTGGCAAAGCAAAGCCACAAAAAGCAAATGATGATTACTGGATGTACTGCAGGTAAAAAGACATTGCTAATAGAGCTGTGAATTGGTCCAATCATTCTGGAAAGCAGTTTGAAACTATGCTTCCTGAGTCACTAACTTGTACACCTACGCTTTGACCCAGTGACAGCACCACAGCTATCGCTTTTTTTTGGCTATAGCACAAAGAGCTCAAAGAAAGAGAAAAAGGGACCCACATGTACAAAAATATTTCTAGCAAAGAGGTGAAAGTTAAGGGCTCATCAACTGAAGAATGGCTAAACACATCCTGATACATGAATGTAATGAAATATTTTTGTGCTGTAAGAAATGAAAAAAAGGATGGTTTCAGAGAAGCCTGGAAAAACTTATGTGAACTGATGCATGGTAAAGTGAGCAGGACCAGGAACAATTTGTACAATAACAACAACACTGTAAAGACAATTTTGAAAGACCTAAGAAATCTGACCAATGCAATTTTGTAAGTTCTGACAAACTGATTCCAGACAACTGGTGAGGAAGAATGCTACCCACCTTCTGACAAAGAAATGATGGATTCAAGTTAACATAACTAGTGTAGGAATTTGTTTTGCTTGACTATACATATTGAGGTTTTTTTTTAGATTACATATATGTGTTACAAAGGTTTTGTTTCTCTTTTTTTCTCAATTGGGATGATGGGATAATGGAGAGGGAAGAGAGCTGAGGATAGGGTTGCAAACAAGAAAAAGAAAACAAAGAAAAAAGAGTTTAATACACTAAAACAGAGTTTTTGAAATGCACAAAAGAGCAGAAAAAAGGCCGGAAGGAATCACAGATAAGTGGAATAATTTTGAAAGTAACATGTTAAGTTTATTATATATTTTTAAAAAGAAAAGCAAGCTATACATAATAGAAATTCACCATTTTGTTTACAACCGTTTCTTTTTGTTCTATTCTGTAGAAGTACTCATTTTATTTTATTTCATGCTTGTTAAGTTCAGAAATTTTAAAATGAGGAAAAAACCCAAAAAACTTGCACTGTCTTTCTTGAATTTAAGCAAAAAAAAAAATCCCAGTCTACTTCTTAGTGACATGAACCTTAAGTTTACTTTGTCAGACAGACTAAAGGAAAGATCTGATGATATGTGCTGTGCTCAAGGAATATGACGCACAAGACGGAGCTAGGAGTTAATTTACCCACGCCTTCTACAAAACAAAGTTCCCTTTGAAAGAAATAAGCTTCTGAACCAAGTGAAGTTGCTGCTGCTCCTTGGCTGACTACACTGCTGCAGGTTTTTGGAAGTTCTTTTGTCTCTGTTTGCTTCAATCTCTATGGTTAAAGCCCTTGGTTAGCTATTAAAATGTGTGCACTAACTAATACTGGATACAATCTGAAGCAGGATGACTGAGTGAACATCTTGGAGGAAATCTATAACATTGTTTCTACAAATTCAAAGTGCCAGAGTGAGATTCCTGGCCAAGTAGTAAGAGAGACACTAGTTTAATTATTAGAGGGAGAATGAGAACAAGCCTCAGGATCAGAGAGTCCTTACACATCTTATACATGTGAGCAGCAGGTGGGAAAAATAGCTTTCTTTTCTTTCATTTGTACTGAAAGCCTGGAGAGCGTGCCTTTGAAGGGGACCATGGACTAAAGAAACCTCAGCCACAAAAGAAGGGATGGGGAGTCGAAGTTGAGAAGCATGCCCAGTTGTTCCCAGGCTCAATAGATGACGGACAGCTTTGCTGGCTATGTTCATTGGTGCCACCTGGTGATTACATACTGAGGATGGAAGAAATAGACTATAAGAACCCAACTTGATCCTGTGAAAATAGTTATAAAGGAAGTTGGTGAGGGAAGCTAAGGACAACAAAAAAGGCAGAGTTTGTTGCTGTTGTTTTTCTTCCTATTTTGGGAGGAAGACAAGGACCCAAGAAAGGATAAAACCCTCTACTTTGGAGCATCTGAAGACAACAGATCAGAGAGAGAAAGCAGAGCAGCTGAGTTTTTATTTTGCTTCTCTTTTCTTTGCCAAGTATCAGAACAAAAATGGCCAAGGGGAAGTTGATACTCAGGATAAATGGAAATAGTAAGAGAGTGCCTCCTTGCCCTTGATGATTTCAAGTCATACAGATCAGATGAACCACATTTTGGGGGGACTCAAAGAATAAAGAAGAGATTGCTAAGCAGCTGTCAGCTAGGGTGCATTCTGAACACACTGTCCATGTCCCCAGCCCAGAACAGCTTTCTGGGGTCTCAGAGAAGCATAATTATTGTCCTTTTTACTCGCTCCCCCAGTGCTATATGAAGTCTTACAACAGTCAGTGGCTGCATAGATCTTATACAGTCCCAAATATACAAATGAAAATTACAATTGTTCACAGAGTTATGCAAATTTAACAAAGAGCATTTTATAAAGTTTATCAAAGGTTCCTGCTTAACAAGGGCCTGTCCGTGATGCATGAAACGGCATTACTTAACCCAAAAACAGGAAGGAAAAGGCAAAGAAAACCTAGCTTCCTCTCTCAGAAGGACACCTGACCAGACAGAGCTTCCCAGAGTGTGTGAAGCTCTCCCCTACTGGGGGAGGGACTTAGGGTCTGTGGTTGATGAGAAGTCATCTCCTCACCCTCAGGTGAAAAACCAGGATTCCCTCAGTGCACTGGGCCATACAAATTGGAATTTGGACAAAATTTCTAGGTGTCTCTTTCTATATAGGACGTACACGGTCTAGTGGGGGAGACAACATGCAAACAACTATATACAAACAAGATATAAACTGAATAAATTGGAGGTAATCTCAGAAGGAAGGTACTAAGATTTAGGAGGATGGAAGACATTTTTGCAGAGGTAGGAGGAATAGCCAAGACGTGAAGGAAGCTAGGGAAGTTAGGAAGGGGTGGGGGTGAGGTGGGGATGAAGAGTGAGAGTGTTCCAGGAATGGAGACTAAGCCAGTGAATAGGCTCAATCAGGAGATGCAGTGTTGTGCAAGGAACAGCAATGGGGCCAGAGTCACTTGATCATAGAGTACATGGAGAAGTGTAAGGTATGAGAAGACTGGATAGGTAGGAAGTGGCCGGGTTATAAAGGGCTTCAAATAACAAACAGAGGGTTTATATAATAGATCCTGGAGGCATTAGGGAGCAACTGGAATCTATTGAATAGGGCTTTAGGAAGACAGATTTGATAACTGAGTGGGGGATGGATTGGAGTAGGGAGACTTGAGGCAGGGAGGCCAAAAACTAGACTGCTGTAATAGTACAGGAGTAAGGTGAAGATGCCCTGTACTAGGATGGTGACATTGTGAGAGGAGAGAAGGGGATGTAGATAAAAGATGTTTCAAAAGTGGAAAGGGGCAGCTAGAGCATCGGCCCTGAAGTCAGGAAGACCTGAGTTCAAATCCGGCCGCAGACATACGATATTCACTAGCTGTGTGACCCTGGGCAAGTCACTTAACCCTGACTGCCTTGCAAAAGAAAAGGACTTGACCACTGATTGGATATGGGGGAGGGATGGTAAAAGAGTGAGGAGTTGAGGATGACACCTGGAGTTGTAAGCATCAGTAGCTGGGAGGATGATGGCATTCCTGAGAGTAATTGGAATGTAAGGGAGAAAAAAGGGTGATGAGGGAAAGATATTAAGTTCAATTTTGGACATGCTGATTTTAAGATGTTTACAGGACATCCAGTTTGAGATGGCTAAATGGCACTTGGCAATGTAAGACTGGAGGTCAGGAGAGGATTGAGTCTAGACAAATAGATCTGAGAGTTATCTGCATAGAGATGATCAGTGAAACCATGGGAGCTGATGAGCTCACCAAATGAAACAGTACAGTAGAAGAGGAGGAAAGGGAACATGATAGAGCCTTGAGGGATACCCACTCTTATTGGGTATGTCATGGATAAGGATCTAGCAAAGGAAACAGAGAAGAAATGGTCATATAGGAGGGAGAAAAACCAGGAGAGAGTAGTGTCATAAAAAACCCAAAAAGAAGAAAGTATCAAGGTGTGATCATCAGCATCAAAGGTTGTGGAAATGTCAAGAAGGGTGGATATTGAGAAAAGACTTGACACTTAAGAGATCATTAGTAACCTTAAAGACAGAGCTTTCAATTGAATGATGAGATTGAAAGCCAGTTTGCAGAGAGT